AAATGTTAACGTGAACATGAAATATCATTATTTTAAATCATATTTTAGGAGCAGGGCTCAAGGGACAGCAGAGATTAAAATATCTTAACCATTGGATAGATTGCAATGGAATTTTGTAATCTAAAATTTTAATAATGATCTGGGCATTCACAGTCCCCAGAGGATGAACCCTAATTACTTTGGTGATCCCTCAACATTATGATTCACAGTTTTGTTTTTTAGCGAAATGTCTCAAAAGCTGTTTGATGGGTTTGCTACACATATTCACGTCTCCCTCCGGATGAGTTGTAATAATAGATTTGTTGATCCTTCTCCAAACATGTCAGAATTTTCAGTTTGTCAAATACTTTGAGTAAATACAGGCAAAACTAAGATCCTTTCCATCTTCAGCATGTATTTTTTACGTCTTAACGCTTTATAGGGCACTCCTTGAAATACTTGGAAAATGAAAACTTCAACCCCAGGGTGTTATTGAAGGATATGTCAAGATGTTTTTGCTTTTGTGACTTAAAAAAAAGTTGCAAATCAAGATTAATATATAAGAAAACGCAACAAACTGCAAAAAACGTTTATTTAGAAACATTTTCGTTTAAGGTAATGATACTTACACAACCAGTAACAAGGCATTTATAAAGTGTTTGGCAAGTTCATCTAGTGACATCTTTCTTGGGGTAGTGGTATTAGTGGCACTAATCTAAAAAAAAATAAATAAAAGTGGAGTTTAATGCAAACCAGTAACAAAGCATTTATAAAGTGCCTGGAACATTTGTTTAGTGACATTTTTTGTAAGGTTGCGAAATTGTCACTAATATAAAAACTAAATCAAAGTGCATATGGCTCTTCAACCTGAAGGAGAGGGACAGGGTGGACATACTGGACACCCAAGGAAGTTACCAAATATGGTCACTTGCCCCATAAAGCGTAAGCTACTAGAAGCTTTTGAACATGGTAAAATCATAAATAAGATGGCAATTAAATTTTCCAAGTACATTCATGTTGCTCAGATGACGAATCCTTTCCGTCTGGGACATTNATTTATTTCAGTTACACCAAATTAATACAGCTGCAGTTTAAATGCTTTACAAGTTAATAAAACACTGACACAAAAACCGCAAATAAAAAATAAAACAAAAGGAGAGATGAACACCACTAGTAAAAACAGCAGACAACATGGAAATAGATAGATTTTCCATAATTAAGACAGCAATAAATTGTTTTGTGATAATATGGAACTGGCTCCAAAGCAGCTTGAACACAGTGTAGGTGTGAGTCTTCGATCAGCACGTCGGCAGTTCCTTCCTTTTAGGTACACATGGGCTCAGTACAATCTCTCCAGATTTGTAGTAAGCTCCGGGGCTATGACAAGGGTACATTAGGTGCCTTGAGACCTGAAAGATACATTTGGTTTTTAAATTGAGAACATCTTTGATATGCACTGTCGAGCCACACTATTAAGAGCTTTATATATCAGGAGCTGGGTTTTAAACTTAATTCTAAAAGTTGTAGCTATGCAGCAAATGTTTCTGAGGACTAGAGAGATGTTTCCTTGTTAAGCCCCAGACTGCCGCATTCAGCTGCTTACTTATTCACGTTTATTGCAGTTTGCAAAAGGAGGCTTTGTCCCAGCAGTCTAGTCATCACGACACAGAAAATTAAAATTGACGGTGGTCTTTTATGAAAAGTCAAGGGATCACCGAGGTCATTTCAATTCATCCACATGAATGTGTGCACCGCATTTTATCCATGTAATAGTTCAGTCAGAACCACAAATGTCAGACTCATGGTAGTGTGAGAGGTAAAATCAGGCCAGTGCCATAGTCAGTAGGATGTATTCTCTGTGCACCACAGACATCTATACCACATTTTCTGGCAATCCAAGCAGAGACATTTCCCACAGAACCATAAATGTCAATCTCATGGTGAGGCTACAGGAATACTCTTGGACCAAAGTGGTTGACTGAGTCACCAACAGACGGTGTCATCCTGAGAGCTCGATCGTCTATCACGTCTAAAAATCTGTCTCACTACAAAAGATTGAATTGTAACATGGTGCTCAGTTCAGTTAAATGAACCCTGCTCTAAATGCAATGGGCTGTCAAATTATTCAGGGTTTTTAACTTGAGTTTGACATGCAAAGCACAGCTCAACCATCACATATAAGTAAGTATAGGAAATGAAATGAGTGAATTGCGCTGCTGGGGGTGGTGGGGCAACTCTGTGGTTCCCTCTGCCAGCCTTGCAGTAAGTGTGCATACGACATACCACAGCAGATTGCTTTAAGTGATTGGTGGTAGGAAGCACTGTTGATAAAACAGATTCACTGATGGGAATAAATGCCATATTTAATTACAACATTCTGACTGCGTGCAGCTAATTGGGCTAATAACAAACATGCTTGCTGGAGATTGGCTTCAGTGTAAGTGATAAAAAGTCTTCATTTTAGGCTTACCTGACTGCCAATAGAGGGAAGGATGTCTCTGAGGAGTAACTGATTCACAAGTAGAAGCCTAGGAACCAAGTTTAGTCTTCCTGACTGAAATAAAGTGAATAAGCTTCATTTAAACTGTGCTTGTACAACTAAACAAGTTGTTGGCAACAGTTCAAACAGCATAATGACTGAGGGAAATGTAATTATATTATTTAGTAGTAAATTAACATTTTGGTGACAAATTAATCAGATTGTCCTGCATATTGACTGAATGCTGCCTGGCCTCGACTGTGGGTGGAGCGATTCGATTGCAATGACATGAACAATGAGAAGGTTCTTGAAGGGACGGTACCTGTAGTGGGATCCACTTCTGTTAATTGTAAGAAAATGACAGTGAATGACACAAAGTCAGTGTGATTTCAAACATGGTGTCCTCGTTATTTTACTCTCCTGCATGTGCTGAATTGGATTTAGCTGGCTTAGAGATGAAATTAGTTTTGGTGTTGCTGTTGCATATCCTCAGAGGTGTATGCAGTGTTCCGATGTGCTAGTCTGTGCTGTGTTGCTCCTCCGGTGCTGTGGGCTTCATCTTATGTCAGCCTCCTCCCACATGCTATAGACCTTCACACCAGTCTTTTTTTTTTTTTGTGCTCATCACACACACATACATGGGTTTTATTTACAACACAGCCTTTTGTTATGCATTTTGGCCTTTTGACCGCATGCAAACTAGAAAAAGACCTTTAGGAAAACTCCTTCTAGGGTAAAAATATTCAGAAACTATGTTTGCAGTGTTGGCGTACAAAAAAGGTTTTGGCTTGAGACACTATCTCCTTTGTTTTCAGAAGGCGAATTTGTGCAAAGGTCAAAATAATGCTATTGCTGACCTTGGTAACAAGACTTTTTGCATGTTTGCACAACTCTCGCCTCTTCTCGCGCAATAAACGAAGCAAATGCTGCAGGATCTCTTTGTAGACGTGCTGGTTGATCGTCTGAAGGGGAAGACTGGTAGTTTGTAGTTTGGGTTTGAAATATATCCTTTGTGACACCAGTCCTGGAACTTTTCTGACACACCTAGTATGTGTACTGCTACTCTTTCAGTGTTTTGAGGAACTGAGGCATCAGAATTAGTCCACACATATGACTGCCTCCTTCCTCAATATGCCTTTGGAAAATGGCAACAGCTTTTTTTTTTAAGGGTTCTGACTGACCAACATGGTTTTAAGGTTAGAGTTACCTGTTGCGTTGACATGACCTTCCATTTTGTTTTATTTTTGTGTGGACTAGGCTTAAGTATCCCAGGAAACCTTTCCACTGAGCCAACCTGCAAAACACCATACCCAAAATGAAGCTCTGCTAAACTGAATAAAACTCTTGTTAATGTTAACAAATGCACCTGTCTGTTGACTAGTGTAAGTAGTGTTTAAGACATGGGAGACATTATACTGCTGCTTCACCAATCTGTCAAAGCAAAGGCACCACTTTTAGGTCTCACAACATACCTACAACAGAATGAGCCAAGATATGTACGAGGCTGTAGACTATATCAATTAATGTGTAATGTGGGGAGATTGTGGTGGCTATTGTTCTATGTCAAGGGCTGCAAGGTGGCTCGGTGGTTAGCACCGTCGTTCTATGTCACTCTACTATAGCCTCGACCATGCCTGTCCATTAATGTGACTGCATACAGTTCAGGTTTGTGCTTTGTTGGAAGTGACATGTAAACGTGACATATTCTAACATTGTAAGACTGACTCTTATGGAAAAGTGACCCTGGTGCTCATTTACACATGAAGCCAAAACATTTCAATTCAGAGTACATGTCTTAAAGAGGTTATAGTTGAATGGGGGCTTGTCTGGGATTGTGTTACAATTCCAAATTGGTTTGCAGTACATGGGAAGGAAATAAAACCAGATTTAAACTATATGTCATCACTTCAGAAACTTTGCACTGCTTAAGCTTAACTGCAAGGAAATCCCAGTTTAAAAAAAAAAAACAAACGTTGAGCCTTTGTCAGAGATTCAACCGTAAAAAAATAAAATGAAATTTGCAATGCAAACTACTGTCTTTCTGGGTTCAATCAGCCAACAACAAATAATAAACCCTTTTCACAGCAGGCATTTTGGCTTGTCACAGCAGGAAAAGTGCAGCTGGAATAAATAGACACACTGTGTCGACAATCACATCCCTTCTTCTCTGTTGAATTGCTCTCGGTGTATTTATTGTATTGAAGTATAACACATATAGAATACAACCACAAACCTTTCATCCATCTATCCATTATCTAGACACCGCTTAATCCTCACTAGGGTCGCGGGGGGCTGGAGCCTATCCCCGACTTAAGGTGAAGGCAGGGGACACCCTGGACAAGTCTCCAGTCTATCACAGGGCTACACTTGGAGACAGACAACCAAGCACACTCACATTCACACCTACGGATTAGAATCACCAGTTAACCTCAACATGTTTTTGGACTGTGAGGAAGCCGGAGAACCTGGAGAGAACCCACACTGCACATGGAGAACATGCAAACTCCACACAGAAAGATCCCAGTGTCCCCACTGCAGTGACGTGAAGTCAGGGGAGGCAGATGAGGCAGAGCCTCACCTGACATCATGGAAAGAAAAAGAAAATATAATGATAAAATAATTGAAATGGTTATATTTATCCAGTGATTTCTACTATAAAGTATCTGCTTTTTCATTTAGCTTCACCAATCTTGGAGATTTTTAAATTCAAAATCCCTGAATTCTGCAGTTTCCCATTCAAATGCTTGGAAGAGAAGCCAGTAGGGCAGCACCGAGCTGAGCCTCACCTTGGATTGCACAATCCCTAGCTAACTGCACTGGCTGTCTGGATGTCGCCAATAAAATATTTCAAACACATTTTATATATGAACTGATTTTCCATAGTTTAGCTGATGTATATAATAATGTACAGTGTTTTTTGTTACCAACTGTATGTGTGTAACGTGTTTTGTGTGATGAGCGTTCATAAAGCAGCAGAGAATCTGCAGACACATACTATTAGTTCCAGGTGAGGCAGGCAGTTCTCTTGCCTCATGGCAGGGGGCGCTCTTGATCCCAGACATGCTTCTTGTGACTCCGTGGCTGCAGAGTAAGTGACAGCAAGCCAGACTGGGTATGATATACAGTTAGCAGGTCAAGTGCAGCGAAGGAAGATAAGGAGACTTTTACAAAAAAGTAACAGATATTTTTGTCTAGAAGGAGCGGAGCATGGACTTCATTTAAAGGTAAGGGTAAGATCCCAATAACTTAAAAAAAAAAAAAAAAGTAACATGCGTTTTGTGGGCTACAGCTTGTATGTGTAAAGAATGCAGATATGAAACATAATCCGTAAACTGCTGCCAATCAAATGACAATAAGCTACTCTGTAGAGTGCATATATTTGTAAATCTGATTCTGATGAAGTCAGTGCCTCACCAGCCGTGAACCTCACCACACGTCACTGCCCCACCAAGACACGAACCAGCGACCTTCTTGCTGCGAGGCAACAGTGCTACCAACTGCGCCACCTTGCAGCCCACCACAAGACTTGACCTTTCTAATAATTCTAGTTGCTTCTGTATGCAGCGATTGACAGTTACAACTTGCATTCCACTGTGTGTCCATCTCCACACCTAGTACTCTTGTTTTAATTTACGGCTGAACACACCATGACATTGTTATGTTAATATCATAGATATGGTAATATCTGTGCAGTGCAGCCATTGCATAGATATTAGATGTTAATATAATCACAAGAAGGAGCAGGATCAGAGCTGTGTAATTATGCTTGTTATATATTTGTACATACTAAAGTAATAACATTATGAAGACAGATCAAACTTGTGCAACCTAATCACGCAAACATTTTCCTGGTTTGCCACCTCTATAAGTAGGCTGCTGTATGTGAACACTGGAAGGACTAAATAAGTCATACAGTTTCCCACCATCATTGTTTTAGATATCTCTACTGCCAGCAATTTATATTGAAATATATCTTAAAACTATTTCATAATACAAAATACTTTTTCCATAGTAGAAAGAGTACCATAAAAATCTGTAAGTATAATCATATCAAATGATTGAAGATCTGGACAGCCTAGACTCTTTTCACAAAAACAAGATAAAGCATGTTGGGTAACCCTTAGAATGACCAAGATAAGAGCTTAAAAGTAAAGGTAGTGAAATTACACTGAAAATAGCCCTGGGCTAGAATCAAGTGTTCCAGAAAGCCATGACCGCAAACCTGCATACATAATAGTAGGGAGATAAGTCTCATCACAAATAGCTCAAAGTACAGTGCAGCTCCTCAGTCCAGATGTATTGGGATTGCAGGAGAGAGAGAAACCTAAACCTGGAACCTGAACACCTACTTTGTCGGGATGGATCATGATAGTTAGGATTCATAGTGGGCTACATTTTGTATCATTTGGCCAAGTTCCCCCAACAAAACCAAATGACAGTAATAAACCTGCCCCTCATCTCCTCTGATTAATTTGATAGAGGCTGAACCTTTTTTATTATTCAAATATTATTCTGTCACCCTGTGATAAAATACTTATAAAATACTTGAAGACATTAAAACCCGTTTATGATGATGGCACATTCTTGGCTCTGATTGGGCTGCGTTTTGTCAGTCAAATCTAG